CTGTGAGGAATAAATTATTTAAAATGGGCATTTGAAAGCAATAAGTTGAAATATAAATGTATACTTTGAAAAAAATGGAATACAGATCATTAGAGATTTTTAAAAGATTATTTATAAAATTAAAGTAAAAAATACATTGCTTGTGTCCCCAGCCTGATAGGGCTCAGATTTACACAGCCTAACTAGCCACATTAATTTTATTTCATTCTTTTTTTACTTACTTTCGTTATGAACAATATGAAAAAATGTATTTCGGTAAATATTTTGAGGCATGGAGTTAAAACAATTAATTTTGGATCCAGCTGAAGTCAAGAATGAAAATGATGCATTATGAAAGATTTTTGTTGTTTTGAAATAGATATATTTGAATGTTGACTTACTTGGGCTAAGCCTGACAAGCCTGACTCCCAGAGTCACCACTTTATATATATATATATATATATATATATATATATATATATAATAAAACCTTTAATAAAACTGTGAAATTTCTTTGTGAATCATTGCAACAACTGGCATCTGCTTCTAGATATCTTACTATAGGCACTCAAAGAAACTATTTTATTACAAATATTTCATGTTAAAGTGAAATAGGTATGTTGTAAAAGCTACCAATACTGAGTGTTTCTTATGGTATAGAGATGTAAAAATGTTGTTGAAGAATAATGGTAGTTTAAATTTCAGTTATAAATAATAAATGTTAAAAATGTAAATAAATTTAGTAAGATAAGTCATGATTTCTTTTTTCAATCTTCTAAGTGAGGTTTAATGTAAAATCTGACTAGGCTGTCATAGGTTTGTAATGTGTAAAATTATTATGGCTCACAAAGAAAATGATATTGATTTAAAAAGGAAAATGTAACATTTAAAATTATTGAAGGTTAAATGTATTATCAACTGCATACAAGGTTAACTAATAAGCTGTATACTTTGTAACAAATACTTCCTGTGATAATCTGATAAATTGAACATTAAATAAAACAAGGGATTGTGCAGAAGTTATTGGTATTACCAAGAAACTTTTTTTTAAAAAAAACGTTTGGTCAGATTTTGCAAAGTTTTCAACACTCCTTGAAAATCAGTAAGTTTTATAAAAAAAAATATATATTCTTGATAAACCTATTCAAAAATCCTTCTATATTTCTGAGATGAGGTATTGTAACTATTTACGCTATTTACATCGTTTGGACTGTTTTCCTCATCTCTATTGCCATATTCATAACATTTCAGCTGTTGTATACTTTTTTTAAATGTGATATATGTTGGAATTTCAAACCAAACCATTTTAGTCCATGGGTGTAGATTGTTCTAATTCCACATGTCATGCCTTTTCTGAATATCTCAGTTTCAGTTAATTCCCTTTAGTAACACAACTCTCCAAGTTTTTGTGGCCAGGTATTAAATTCATAACTCTTTGGGTTACTTCAACCAATACTTTTATTGGCTGGGCCAATGTATATCACCTGAAGAAATACAGAGTGTACAATGGCTGAAACATTATGAATATGGCAATAAAGATGAGGACAACGATGCAAATAGTGTAAATATCCAGAAATCTTTTTAAAATTTCTTACTTGCCACCTTTCTTTTTTCACAACATTTAAATTGATAAGCAGAGCTACTAAATTTCATCACAAATATTAATTTTTGATTATTTTTTCTGTTTATTTTTTTAAACTTAGTTTCACTCTCTCTCAGAAGTGCTCAGATCATCATCATACAGTCATGAGTAAATCGTATGAATCAGTGTGTGTGGGGTGAATCAACTTTAATTAAAATTAAGAATATTAGTTAATAATGATTGACGATGTTGCATTTAATAAAACTTCAAAATATTTATGCTACTTGTGTAATAAAAAGCAAGTAAAATTAAGATGAAATAAATATTAGTTAACAATTAATCATAGTTGACAATACTTAATCTAATAAAAATTCAGGATAATAATACAGTAACTGGAGATTTCTTTCCTCCAGTCTTAATGTTTTGCTTTATGACCTGTCTCTGACAAATAATTTTGTTAAAGAGAAATAGGAATTAGCAAAATGTAATGAATTATTATTAGAGTCAGTGTAATAATAATAAAATATATACAAAATTCAGTTCACTGTTCTAGCAGCATGCCATTCCATGTATTAGATTACTTCATGTGATCAGACACCTAGTTGAGAAAGTTGTGATATTTATGTGGTATAAGCATTTACATTGATGCCTAAATATTTGGAAATTTTCTCATGAAGGTTGTTATATGAAAAGTCAGAAAATAAGTGACCATGAATTTAAGGCATCACTCAAATAGTAAAATAAGTCACCTTAAATTATATAAAACAAACTGCTACTATTCATTACAAAGCACCAATTTTGTTTGGACTGTATTTTTGCAATAGGTTTGGTGGATTCTTTTTATTTATATTCTATAACTAAATTGATCAGTCATTTTATGTTGCGTTAATAATCTGAAAATGTTTTGTCAAAGAAATATAAATGAGTCTATAAAATTTACTGTTCATACTGAAATGTTATTGTCTTTTGATTCTTTCTATTAAAATCTCTCAAATCAATTTCTTGTTTCTTTTTTGTAATTCAGTAAATAATAGTTTATTACCTTAATTCATTTATTTCTGGAGTGAACTTTATCTTGTATACCACATTGATACATCATTATAATGATCACATTAAATAAGGGACTTTTTCTTGCTTGGGGCTGTTAGGGTCCTCTAGCTATACATACTTGCCATCTTTTTGTCAAACTGGAAGTGTGGATAATGGCAAAATACTGTCCTAAAAATGATGGGGTGAGATGGAACTTTTCTGTATTACTACACAAAATGGTGGCTCATTTTGCTAATATGATTCACCATTGCTTATCTCCAATTCCTACTAATAAATCTGTTTCTCATTATGGCATCAGTCTGGAATTAAAATATCTTATGAATATCAAATGAAGCTTTCCTCATTTAACTTGTAATCTAAAAAGACCTCCTGACCTCAGGAGCAGAATGAATGTTCTCTACTCTTTTAGATTATTTATTTAGAGTTTGCCTGTTTCATGGTGATACCTTACAGAGAATAATTATAGGAGACAATGTTTTAATAGACATCAAATATATTAAAAATAATTTTCCCACAATTTTTTGTTTTATCATGTATAAAAGATATAGTTTAAATTTGTTCAGTTGTATATCATCTAAATTACAGTTTGGTCAGTTGTATATCATCTAAATTGATGTGTATGAGTTACACAGTTCAAGGTCAAATACAAAATTCTTTCATCTGTCAGAGACACAGTGGTAATGATAAAAATATGAGCAAGCATAATTTTACTAAATACAAAATAAAAATTAAGTTTTTTCGATCAATACACAAAGGAAGAAACTGGAAAAAATAATGCTTGTAAAATAACAGCACAGTGATCAAATTTAAACAGCATTGCTGCTTTTGATGTGCTTGTTACTCCAAGTGTGACACAATGGGTCACTTCTTGATTGGCTCAAGACATCCACATAGTCAAGTGGTCTGTGAATAAACAACAAAGATGAGTGAGAACATTATAACATTCTCACTCATCTTTCTTGTTTATTGCAGTGCTTTGAAGGAAAGTGTATAGTGTGTGGCTGTGTGACCACACCACAGAAAGCTTTTTGGAAATGGTTATAACAGGTGACTATTGTGGGTATGTAGCTATGACCTCCAAAACAAAGGTTCAGTCTTTGCATTGGAAGACCCCTAAACTCTCCTAGACTGAAAAAAAAGCACAAGTGAGTTGAAGCAATATAAAAACACTGTTGGTAGTTTTCTTTAACTACAAGAGTATTTTTTATCATGGGAGGGTCTACCTGTTCAGACAGTAAAAAAGAACTATTGTCCTCATCTTTATTGCCATATTCACAACGTTTAGGTTGTTGTATACTCCGGCTTCTTCTGATTGGAATTTTGAACTTGAGATAGATTGTTCTACTTCCATGTGCCATGCCTCTTCTGGATGTCTCGGTTATCTCCCTTTAACTCAACTCTCCAGGTTTTGTTCCCCACTGCAGTAGCCAGGTATTGAACTCACAACTCTTTGGCTCAAGTCACTGGATCCAACCATTGATTTTATCCACTGGGCCATGTGTCTTTCACTGCAGTGGTGAACAAAAACTTGGACAGTTAAAGGGATATAACTGAGACATCCTGAAGAGGCATGACACATGGAACTCAAATGATCTACCCTGATGGATGAAATAAAGAGTTCAGTTCAAAATTCCAAATACTGGCAAATACAGTGGCTGAAACATTGGGAATATGGCAATAAAGATGAGAACAACAGTCCGAACAATGTAAATAGTGTAAATAACTCTTCTCAGAAATATAGACAGATGTTGAAGGTGAATATGGCAATAAAGATGAGAACAACAGTCTGAACAATGTAAATAATGTAAATAATTACAATACCTCATCTCAGAAGTACAGACAGATAGTAAACAAGGAGTACTACTGTGACATGTTGCAGCATTTGTGGGATGCTTTTTGTCAGAAAATGACAAGATTGCATGCGTCCTTTGAGTGGCAACTCCACCATGACAACACACCTGCCCATTCAGCACAGCTTGTGCAGTAGTTTTTGGTCAAGCACAACATTTCCCAGGTCCGAGAACCACCATATTTCCCAGATCTACTCACTTGTGAATTTTTCCTCTTTTTGAAAATCAAATCCCACTTGAAAGGATCAAGATTTCAGGATGTCAAGGAATTCCAAGCTATCTGCTCAGTACCCTTAAAAAGGAGTTCCAGGAATCAATGGAAACAATGCTGGATAAAGTGTGTGGCTTTAGAAGGGGACTACTTTGAAGGAGATTAAATGCTGGATTGATATGTGTGCGTGTGTTTTTTTTTTTTTATAGAACTAGTCCTAATACTTTTTGTTTAAGCCTTGTGTGTGCGTACACACACACACACCATTTAGTTTTCTATTTTGCCAGGTTGACATACACATGTAATCCAGATTGTCTTCTTTTTGCAGCACCATCGAAAAAAGCTCTCGGGGAGGCGGTTAGACTATGATTGTAAACGCCGGAAAAAGGAAAAAGGTGAGTATTTCAGATAGTATTTACTGGTATCTTAACCAATTGCATTTTTCTCTAATTGCATTATATATATAAATATACATGAAAATGATTTTTAGCTAGTGCAGATGTTTTGCATTTTCCTTTCAAATCATTTTTTGGTATTTTGATGTAATTGTTCGCTATGATCTTTTATGATTTTTTTTTTTTTTTAAATAACATTTTGCTTTGTGCTTCTTGTTGAAGTGAGATATCCCTAATATTTATTTATTTAGTGTTCTACATCAATGCATATTTAAAAATTATTTCTATTTGTTATTAAGGTATGACTTTGTGCTTCATAAAATTGTTTTTACAACTTGTTGCCTTGGAATATAAGAAACATATCAATATTGAGCATGCTGGAGAAATTTGCTGTTCAATAACTTTTGAAATTATGAATTTTAGTTTTAATTCTGATTTTACAATTTTTAACTTGCAGTGATTAAAATAGAATTGTTTGAAATATTTATAGTGTGTTTTGGATTTCACCACTAATGATATTGGATGTAAGGGGTCATTTGTTTCAAAGAAAATTTGAAAAACATTTTGAATATTGAAGTGGATATCAATTGGGATGTAAATTGAAAAATCTCCACAAAAATGCAATGAACATTAGACTAAAAATCTATTTTTATAGCACTCAAAAAGTTGTAAGGTGTATATTTTAAATTATCTACCTGGCTGTGTACTATTCTATATTTATTAAATTTCTTTAAAAAAAATTATTTTTATTGAAAATCAAAATTCAATTTATGTTAATAACCTATTCTGGAAAAAAATAGAATATATTTTTAAATTCTTTTACAGCATTATTTGAACAAATTTTTATAAATGTTGAAAATTCTGGATAAGATTTCTTGCATCCTTTTTCTTTCATTTAAAAGGCTTGAAGATTCTGAAAATGAACTCTTGTATAACTTTCATATTAATCTTTCTTTTCTATTCTACAATCACTTTTTTTTACTTTTAGGAAGACTTGGTATTTAAAGTATTCAGGAAGTATTTACCATGGAAAACCTTTATTTACTTTGTTTTGCATTAAGCATCATAATTTTTATTTTTCTTAGAAATTATACTTGTAAATAATTCACCTGATACTTTAAATTGAACATTTGATCAGATCTGATAAAATGATTGGCTTTGGGTTTAAACCTTACAGAAAGATCAATATATCCTCAACAAATCTTAAAATGTCTTGTTTCATTAATTACCAATCCCTGTTCTGCCTTGAATCTAAATATTTCTCTGAAAAATTCACACCAAAATTAATGGTTTGATTTTGATGAGGAGTAAAAAAATTTATCAAGTTATTACAAGTAATTTCAGAGTTTCTCTCTGACATGTTTCTTCACTAGTCTTTTGTTTACTTTTTCCATAATGTGCTGATTTTTTTTGATTTTTTTTATTTTTTGCCTTTTCATCTCTTGATATATTCATTAACTTAATATCAAATGAAGATTGTTACTGTGACAATGATATTTATGAAATTTATAGTCTTTGGAACATTAAAGCCGATTTCAAAGCCTAAGAAAGAGAATTCATTGGTTATCTGTTAGAAATATGTTTAAAGTTAGTTTTTGTATATCCTATTGACAATATTTTAAGTCCTTTATAAAACTATAGAATAATATGAATGCTTTACTGGTAAAAAAAAAAAATCATTTAAAAAAAAAACTGTTGCATTTGTCAGTTTGCAAACATTCTACTTCATGGTAATTTTTACTCTGATCATTTTGATTGCTGCACATATGAAAATATATGGGAACACCAGATACTGTAAGCAACCTCCTACAATCCAAAATAGGTTTTGATTTTAAATAACCTACAAAAAAAAAACACATACAGGAAACAATCATTTAAAAAATTTGAATAGTTTAATTTTTAAAAAATAATTTTAACTGTATATTGGAATGCTTATTTGTGTTTCATTGATTTTTATTTGTGTGTTTTGTCAACATTTGTCACTGGGATTCTAATTGTTCTTGTAGTCTTAAGAATTTGTCCATTGAAGCATCTGAATACCTTGTTCTTACATAAAAAAAAATATACAGATTTTTACTCAAGTTTTGCCACACCAAGAAATGCAACAAGTTCAATATGAGGCATGTGTTAAACTACATTTTGAATGTAAACTCCTCAATTACAATGTCTGTTAGTGTGCCCATGGTAGTAGCCTTCACTTCATCTGTAACATTAACAACAGATAACCTAAGCATATAACTTACCAATCTCTCATTTATTAAAATCTCTGAATTTAAATATTTAAAAAAGAAATTTTCTCTGCTGAATATTGTCCCAGTAATGTTCACCTCTAATCTTAAATCTTATTCAAAATATTTTTTATTCATTTCAGTTATCTTAAAGTATCTATAGATGTCTTTTTTTTAATGCATACATTTTCTTTAAGTCTATCCAAATTATATTTCATTTAAATATTTTTTTCTTTTGTTCCTGATATTAATACAGAAATTTGATTTCTTTTCAGAAATTTTAATTTTTGATTTTTCTCTCTCTGGAAGCATTTTGACTTGTTTATGTTTTCAGTATATTTACTAGTTTTACATGTTTTCCCTGAAGCCATAATGACATAATGAGAATGTTAAATAAAATATGTTGTAACATTCAGTATATATATATATATATATATATATATATATATATATAGAGAGAGAGAGAGAAACTCTCCAGAGTACATGAAATGAATATTATACACATAAAGAGGGTAATCAGCAAATTCTATAGGAGTTCCTCTATTAGAAAAGTAGAATTAATGATTTTGGGACTTGTAATAATGTTCAGTAGCTACCAATCATTACTCTCTTTTTTTTTTTTTTTTCTTTTTTTTCTCCAAACTTATATAACTGCATGATTCTGGATTTGGTGATTTTTACAAAAAGTAGATTTATGCCTAAAATAATTACTAGGTTTCTTTTATTTAAGAAAGTGATATCTATTTTCTAAAATATAATATGATTAACAAGCAAAATACTTCATTGGCATTCAAAATGATTTACTTTCTGATATAAAACAATTACCTGAAGATACTGAAAGCCATTGAACTTGATCTCATAAATATCGGCTGTCACTTAAAGATCAGTTTTATCTTATATATTTCAATGTTGTCCATCTTCTTTTCTCGCAAACTTAATAACACTGTCTGAATGTGTTTTTAACCATATGTACTCTTGGCTGCAGTCGATGCCATGGGAGAGATGGTCGGCTTTGGTTATGGCGGTAGTCAGTCTGCAACAAACAGTCCTGTTCGTAGTCCCATTCGAAGTCGGCCTGGTAAGACTTTCTGCACCCTGCAGGCTGCATTCTCATCAGTTTACCTCTTCATTCATCCTCTGAACTTGTACATCCAACTATAAATTGATACCAAATTACATATCCATGACCATTGCTATTTCATGTTTTATTGTTGTGCACATATCTCCCAAGCACTTTAAAGAATTTTCTAGTAAAGTTTGAAAAAATAAATGGATTTGTTGAAATAGTTTCATGTAAGCTGAAAACAACAAACTGATCTGCAGCATTCTTAGTTCTAAGTAATTCCTGTAGCTTCTGTCAACATTAAAAGAACTGAAATAATTAAAGGTGTTTATGAATTTTCTTAAGCTATAGAAAAGCAACTTATATTTGAGGATTAAATTTATACACTAAATTGTCTGTTCTCTTTGGAACAAAGTCTAAAATGTAAACATGTATGAAATACCACAAAATTGTCTAAACTGGATTAACTTGGTAAATTTATTTTAATTTTCCCGTTCTGGAATGGACCTAAGTAAAATCATCCTTCTCCACATTTTAGTACATATCTTAATTCTGATTTGGACCTTTCAACTGCTCTTTGAGATTCATTTTGGAAAAAAAAAAAATTCTCATGGTATAAGTGTTGTTGCATGATATTATGCTACAGATTCTTTATCATCTTTCTAGATCCTTTAAAGCAATGATATTTGAGCCTTTTTTTTTCTCCACAATAAGTATAACTGAGATTTTATTTTTAATTTTCATTTTACACACAAACAAAAAATATTCTATCTTAGTTTCATGATTGAAATGCAGATTTGTCTTTGTCAGATGCAATGGCTTTATATAAATTTACCTTCATTAGATATATGGTTTTATATATAATAATATGCAAATTAATGTTTATGATAACAATGCATTAAACTTTTAAAGTTGCTATGTAAGTAATGAGAGATGGGACATGAAATGTAATACATTCCAACCTGGTAATAGTGTTAGTAATAAAATGTATTCATGAATTTGGCTAACTTTATTTTGGATATATATTCTAATATATAAAAATTTGAAAACATAACTGCTGCCAAATTATGACAAACAGTTCATTGTAAGATGCAGCTAGGAGTATAAAAAATGGGATAAGATACTGAAGAAAATATAAAGAATGCATTTGGTCAAGTTGAATGTGCTTAAATCTTAAAATAGGCATTCTACTGTTGAGAAAATCTTAATTTTTTTATTTGCAAACTATTAAGCGTATATTTCTTTGGCATGTTTGTGGTGCATTTATGATTTCAATTTTCTATAAATAAAAAATTCTATTGTAATTTTTTTTTCATTTTTAGACTTCCTAAAGAAAAATGAAAATCAATCCATTCATATTGTAATATGTTATGCAAAAATCCATCCAGAACTAACCAGAGAAAAGGTTAGCATTGAAACCTTGAATTCTGAACATGTAGGGGGCTGTTAGATTATAAATCAGTTCATCTCTACCTTATATTTATCCATCATGATTTAGTAGTCAAGAAGTTGAACTAGTAAAGAATCAAGGATATTTTTTGATTTGCCTTGTGGCATTTAGGAACTTTAAAACTCAATAGTTTATTGACTTATCACTTAAGCACACTTATCTGTTCCTATTTTATTGATATTGTAGGCAACCGTGTTCATTATTCATCTCAGCACTGGATTTTAATATTATGTAATTGTGATTATTTCATAACAATTTGAATTCATTTTGTTTTATTTTATAAAACTAATGCTAACAAATGTGCATATAAATCTACTTATTAATAGAGGCTTATGTTGTTGAATGAATATACAATTTGGAATATCAAATTGAACTAGCAAGTTTGTTGTGGTTTAAAAATGCTTGTCTCTGGTTACAAGTTGATAAGGTCATCCACTCTAGAAAGACAAGACTGAATTGTTATGCTTTGTTATGAGTTTTACTCTCACCAGCTGCCACATTTTAAAACATTGCAAGTTTTTCTGAAAGGCAATAAGCGGAATGCCTCACCTGTTGTAACATATAAAGGTCCTTTGTCTCATTTCCTTTGTTTTTTCATTAGTATGATATCTCAATGAATAGATGTAGAAAAATGATAATTTTTAAAAATATTTATTTAATTTATTACTCTATTTCAGCAAAATGGTCTAGTTTTATATTTTGAAGCAAGAGGTCTCTTGAGATCATAAAACAATTGTTAAATATTGTAATTATTACAACAATCTGGAAAACTAATTAGGAAACAACTTATAATTGGCTTTACAAATTTAAAAAAAATTTTTATTAATATTTCTGCTTACATCATCTGTGTCATTTCTTTTAGAAGACAATTTTATGAATTTTTACTGCATTATATTATTTTATACATATTGACATTTTTTGAGGTTAATTCATCATTCAATGTTTACAATATTGATAGAAAAAACAGATTGTTGTGAAATAATTATAATGAAATGTTCACATTTTTTGTTAAATGTTTAAATATTTTTCTCTTTTAATTAATATTTTCTTCTAATCATTTTGTTTGGTATTAGGACATTGGTGAGTATCTTCATATAAAATGAACTGAACCTGTTTCATTAAATAAGTTATACTTGCAAACCATTTTATCATTAAGATCACTTTAAGTAATATTTTTTTATAAGTGTGAACAGATTTTAGTAGGATTATAACTGATGTAGTACACAACCACAAGGAAAACTGTAGAATAAAAAAAAATAATTTGCATTGTTAACAGATCTGAAAGTGAGGTTTGTTTATACTGACATTTGATATGTGGAAAACACGTACGTTTGAATATGTGTACGTACTCACAAATATCTATATGTAATATAAACATTTTGATATTATTCAATACATGACTTCATAGATTATAAATTTCATGGGGTTTTTTTTATTGGATTGGGGAGAAACAAGATTTTAAGCTGTCAAATTGGATATTAAATGTGTTTATAAAATGAATTGCTGAAAATGTTATATGTATACATTTAAGAAAATATATTTATAAATTAATGTGTATTTGATCATATGTCATACCCTTTCTATGTTAAAAAAAAAAAAGTATGGCTCAATGGTTTTATGCAATTTTGAGGTGTCTAGTGAGCTAATGTTTATACAGACACCATAGACTATTAGTACTTAGCTTAACTCTGTAATACTGTAATCTTAAATATAAAGGTTTTTTTATATGATATCAAATACAGTATTTCAAAATTGCAAAAGTTCTGAATGTAGCTGAGTTGCTTAATGAATTTTAGAAATATTACAATACACACACACTAAATGTTCACTCAAAGCAATGCCTAAGAGCTACTCAAGGTAGAGAGTTACATAGGTAGTTGTATGAACATAAGAGGAGGAAGTAAGTGCAGATTATAAAGACACAATGATTGAGTCTATACTTGAAGAGGTTAAGATTGTAGTGATCTGGGAAGCATTCACTTGGAAGTTTGATTGTGCTATACCAAGGAATAAACCAATGTATGTATAACTACTAATATATAGTTATGCTGATGACTCTACACATTATGGCCATTTGCTTAAAATGGTGTTGGTCTTGTATATGCCTCTAAAACAGCATTTACCTAATTAAGCATGGGCTCTACAAGAACTTCTTTGGGATCTGGTATTGGAATGTTAACAGTGGGCTTCTTTAATTGCTGCAAGTTATTTATTAGAGATTCTCTTGAACAAAGGTTGGTCTAACATATATCCTACTAGCTTAAAAGCTACCCTATTGGGCGGCATTTAGGCTAGCTCCTGTGGAGAGCTCTTGATTGGGCCTTCATCACAATAGGTAGGGAGGAGTAGATGCAATAGGCAACAATAAACTAAACTCAAAATTGATTGCTGCATTTAACTATTCTGTTAATATTTAAGCTTACTTTTTAAAAGTTCAATGAAAAAGATGAGCTGTTGAGAGTTGTCTCTTTAACTGAAAATGTGTGACACATTGTCATTTATTATATAGATGATTGAGATATTGGGAATTTAGTGACCAAGGTAGCACAGTGAGGTCTTAATGTTCCTGAAACCATTTCTTTACAACTCGTACTGTGTGGCGGGTTGCATTACCACACCATTCCCATCATAGAAGACTGTTGCCATGAAGGGATGTGCATAGTTTTAAATGATGCTGAGGTAAGTGCTATACTGCAAAGTACCTTCTACATAAATGAGGAGGAAAAAAAAAAGGTTGTTTCCCAGCAGAGCATTGCCCAAACCATCACATGGTCACCATCTTGTTGTTTTTCCATAGTACATCCTGGTGCCATTGCTTCTCCAGGATAGTGCCATGCTGTTCACTTTATTCAGGTGAAAGTGACACGCATCAGACCAGGTGACTTCCTTCTATTAATGTGGCATTCAAAGCTTTAAAAAAATCAGACACCAATATTCATAGGCACATTAAAGACATTTTTGGCAATGGGCATTTGTTAGCATGGTATTTTGATTAACTTGCATTTATGCAGACCCATAATGCAATAAGCATCAGTGTCCTGTGTGTTGTGACACATACTATCATTACCCTGATTAGTTATCTTCAATTTGTGACACAGTAGCTCTTCTGTTGGTTTGTATATGGTGGCAAAGCCTTTTTATACTTCTTGCACTGATAAGTCTTGACTATATAAAACCTTGTTGGTATTTGGTGATTTTTACATGCTCAGCCCATTGCTAATTACTCAGCACAACTGGACATGAGCACTCTGCAAACTATCATTTCAGAACTTCTATGATTTATTTTTCTGGACATAATAGATTGGTTTCTATCAAAAGTTCATTAAATTTTTCTCTTTGGCCATAACTGCAGCAAAATGCTCAATGCTGGCTTACTGGTTATATACTTCTGATATGCACAGGTGTCATGACACAGTAGCTGTCATTCTTGCCATATTTCACAGGTGATAATATTTGGCTTATCATTGTGTGTGTATATATATATATATATATATATATATATATATATATATATAAATATATAAAGAGAGAGAAGAACAGTGTATAAATAAAAAAAAAATTTGGT